GGCCTCTCGTCTACACTTGGCTCCAGAGAATCCGTTCTGCTAGTCTTCTGGTGGTTTTCTGGGTTATTTAGGCAGGTGTGGGTGGAATCTAAGTGTTCAGCAGGACGCGGTGAGCCCAGCGTCCTTCTACGCCACCATCTTCTTCCTCAAGCCTTTATCGTGAGGTGGTATCTCATTGTGGTTTTGACCTGTATTTCCCTGATGATGAGTGATGTGGAGCATTTTTTCATGTGTCGGTTGGCCATCTGGATGTCGTCTTTGGAGAAGTGTCTATTCGTGTCTTTTGACCATTTCTTCACTGGATTATGTTTTGGGTGTTGAGTTTGATAAGTTCTTTATAGATTTTGGATACTAACCCTTTATCTGATATGTTGTTTGCAAATTTCTTCTCCCATTCTGTCGGTTGCCTTTTAGTTTTGTTGATTGTTTCCTTCGCTGTGCAGAAGCTTTTTGTTTTGACGAGGTCCCAGTAGTTCATTTTTGCTTTCGTTTCCCTTGCCCCCGGAGATGTGTTGAGTAAGAGGTTGCTGCGGCCAAGATCAAAGAGGTTTTTGCCTGCTCTCTCCTCGAGGATTGTGATGGCTTCCTGTCTTACATTGAGGTCTTTCAACCATTTTGAGTTTCTTTTTGTGTATGGTGTAAGAAAGTGGTCCAGGTTCGTTCTTCTGCATGTCACTGTCCAGTTTTCCCAGCACCACTTGCTGAGGAGACTGTATTCCATTGGATATTCTTTCCGGCTTTGTCAAAGATGAGTTGGCCATATGTTTGTGGGTCCATTTCTGGGTTCTCTATTCTGTTGCATTGATCTGAGTGTCTGTTTTTGTGCCAAAAAATTTTTCAAGTGTTTTAAGAGCTCTGTGCCAGACAGCTGGAACTAACCACAATATCACGAGTATGTAGTAAGATTGCAGGGTATTTCTAAAAAGTTTTAGTCCCCCAAAATACGACATGAAGTGGGTGGTTAGTGGAGAGCCATGTACATCATGGGGAAAAATCATTAAGAACAGGTTTGCAGGTGACCTCTTTCCAATAAGGAGTAATTTCGCAATGACCTGGGGTTTGATGTTACAGGTATCAGTGTCATTTGAGGATGTGACCATGGACTTCAGCAGGGAGGAGTGGGAGCAGCTGGGCCCCACCCAGAGATGCCTGTACTGGGACGTGATGCTGGAGATCTGCAGCCACCTCCTCTCCCTGGGTGAGCACCCCTGCCCTGCCCTCCCCGCCCCCCCCCCCCCGCCCGAATCTCGGACAGACCTCGTCGAGATTTCCCTCCTTGTTGTGGGACGCAGCAGGGCAAATGAAGTATGTTATCTGTTTGCCTTTGATTTGTCCCTGTCTTGTCGTTCCTTTAGGGCCCTTTCGAATTGTACTTAGTTCCTAAGTAAAAGATGTTGACTTTTCCGAGGAGCCGATGCAAAGCTTCACTGAATGGCCTGTAAAGCCCAAGACCACATCCAAATCCGATACTCTTTCTCACGAACAGGGTACCCCATTCCCAGGCCAGAGATGATTTTCAGGATGGAAAAGGAAGAGGAGCCATGGATAAGGGAGGCTCAGCTCCCACATCAGTGGCGTCCAGGTGAGTGACTGTTACCTGGCAGACACGTGGACATCTCTGGGGGGGGGGGGGCATTATTCAACCTGCCACCCTACCCATCCCCCGGTGGGTGGACCGCACGCCCTGTGCTCTCCCGGTTTCTACAACTAACGCTGTGATGGCCGTGGGGGCAGGCGTAAGAATTTCTCAGAGGTGACTAGGCAGGAGCGGGCTTCCCTGATCCCTGGACACAAGCGTACTTAGTGTGACTAAGTAAACCATAGACTCTTCTGATGGGCTACAGAATCCGTGCTCTGGCGTGAGAAGGCTCAAGGACCCACCCTTGTACGCCTTGCTTGCCAGCGTGGCCTTGATCAGGTTTCTCCTGGCCCATGTGATAGGCCATTGGGCTGTTTTCTTGTTTTAACGTCATTTAGTTAATACAGAGTTAGAGTGTCTCCTCATATCCTTCATGATCGGGCTTTCCGTCTATACGTTGCTTCTACATCTTGTTTGGTCCTTTTGTGTCCATGGAGTTTTCGTAAGGCCCTTTTTCTTTTTTATTTGCCCCCTGAATTCACTGGTTTGTCTTTTCTATGGTGGATATTCTTCCTTCTTTTCCCCTAGTTGTGGCTTCTCCCCCTCAGAGCCCCAGGCTTACCCTCTGGTCATCCCTTCATATGGTAATTCCCTTGAAGGGCCCTTCTCTTCACAATACCAAGCCTCAGGGTTTTTTTTCTGGTGATCTCTAGATCAACCCCTCCAGTTCCTGTGCCTAAACCCTTCTCTTACCTTATTCAGTGGTGTGGTGGACAATTCCTGCGGGATGGCTCACTTCCCTTATTTGCTGGAGATCAGAAATTGGAATCCTTACCAAATCAAACATTTTTCTCAGCCTTTTACATTTTGTCAGATTCTTTTTTTTTTTTTTTTTTTTTTTTTTTTTTTTTTTTTTTTTTTTTTTTTTAAGTTTATTAGAGCAGGGCACGTGGGTGGCTCAGTCAGTTAAGCGTCTGACTTCGGCTCAGGTCATGATCTCATGCTCATGAGTTCGAGCCCCACATCGGACTCTGTGCTGACAGCTCAGAGACTGGAGCCTGCTTAGGATTCTGTGTCTCCTCTCTCTCTGCCCTTCCCCTGCTCATACTCTCTCTTTCTCTCTCTCAAAAATAAATAAAAAACGTTAAAGTTTAAGAGCCAGCGAGTGGGGAAGAGTAGAGAAAGAATCCCACGCAGGCTCCGCACTGTCAGCTCAGAGCCTGGAACCTGCTTCAGATTCTGTGTCTCCCTCTCTCTGCTCCTCCCCTGCTCACACTCTGTCTCTCTCAAAAATAAATAAAAGCATTAAAAAAAATAATAAAGTCAGACACTCAACTGACTGAGCCAGCCACCCAGGTGCCTCACGTATTTCTACATTCAAATGTATCTAGAGAGTTTCATTGCTTGTGCTGTACCTAGTGTTCCTGTTTTCTTGTCTACTACAGAGATGGATATACATCAGTATAGACAGTATATACTGTCTGTAGGATGATCCTGTCTGCGTGGTCTGATTGATCTCCACTTTCCGTACTTAATCTTCGTTATGTCAGTATCGAGCATGAGGAAACCATTCAGGATATAAAAATTATTGAATTTCTGAAGATAGGCAAAAAATACTTTTTTCTATTTTGGAAGGAAACAAAATACCTGCTGAGGTAAATTCAAAGACACCAAGATTGGGGCACCTGTGTGGCTCAGTCGGTGAAACGTCTGACTTCGACTCCCTCTCCTTTGCCCCTTCCCTGTTTGTTCTCTCTCTATCTCCTGTGTCTCAAAAACAAAGACACCGAGATCATCATTAGAGTGGGTAACAACATGAGATATTAAAAGCATCAGCCTTTTGGCATTAATGTTGTCTGTTTAATGGAGGCCAACTCAAAAAATACATATCAGGATGAAGGGTGTAGGGAGTGACTGCTTGTGAAGGTCCAAGGCGATGGCATCAGCCCAGAGGAGTGGCATTGGGGGTAAGGTGAAGGACATGGTACTTGTAACTGTTCTGCATGGCAGCTGTGAGCTCTAAAGCTAAATTGGGGTAGAAGAGGTGAGAATATGCTTGGATTTGGGAATAAATTAGACTTTTTTTGGAAACAGCTTTGTGGGGGGTTTTTTTGTTTTGTTTTTTTTTAATATTTGAGGGAGAAAGAGAGAGAATCCAACTGGTGGAGGGTTAGAGAGAGAGGGAGACACAGGATCTGAAGCAGGCTTCAGGTTCTGGGCTGTCAGCACAGAGCCCAACATGGGGCTCAAACCCACAAACCATGAGATCATGACTTGAGCCAAAGTCGGACGCTTAACCGACTGAGCCACCCAAGTGTTCCTATTTGTTTTTTAAATGTTTATTTATTTTTGAGAGTGACCAGGAGAGGGGCAGAGTGGGGGGACAGAGGACCCGAAGTGGGCTCTGTGCAGAGACCCTGATGCAGAGCTCTAACTCACAAACTCTGATTCTGTCACTTGAGCTGAAGTTGGGTGCTTAACCGACTGAGCCACCCAGGCGCCCCGGAACAGCATTATTAACATTAAGCTGCCTTGGAGAATTATGGACAAGCTTTTCAGCATAGTGCTGATATTTTACATTGAGCATCTTCAGTAGTGATGTACATTTCATTGGGTTCTCCAAGAGTTTTATGATCTGAATGAACCGTTCAAAATGGTCAAATCACTGTCTGGGAACTCAAAGTAGAATGTCTTCAGAAAACGTGAAAGCCAGTGTTTAGGTAGAATTGCTATATAAGAGCGCAAAATGAAAGAAAAAACCAAATAGCCTGATATAAAAAGTCAGGGACTCGAGTAGACGTTTCTCCAGAGGTGACATATGAGTGGCCAACAAGTATATGAAAAGATGCTCAGTATTAGGGTGAGGCAAAGCAAAACCACAGCGGTAACCAACTTACCTGCTAGACTGGCTACTGTTAAAAAATCAAAATAGTAAGTGTTGGCAAGGATGTGACCCTCACACTGTTGTTGAGAATGTAAAATGATGCAGCTACTATGGAAGACGGTACGGTGATTCCTCAGAAAACTAAGCCTGGGGGCGCCTGGGTGGCTCAGTGGGTTAAGTGTCCGACTTCAGCTCAGGTCATGATCTCATGGTTCATGGGTTCGAGCCCCACGTCAGGCTCTGTGCTGACAGCTCAGTGCCTGGAGCCTGCTTCGGATTCTGTGTCTCCCTCTCTCTGCCCCTCCCCCACTTGCAGTCTGTCTCAAAAATAAATACACATTAAAAAACTAAGCATAGAATGACCATATGATGCAGCCAGCAATTAATTCCACTTCTGTATATATATCTGGGAGAATTGAAAGGATCTTGAAGAGAAGATTTGCACACCTATGTTCACAGTAGCTGAGAAGTGGGTGCAACCCAGTTGTCCATTGATGGGTGAACGGATTAAGAAAATGTGTGTACACACCATGCGATGTGATTCAGCCTTAAAAAGAAAGGTAAATCTGACCCATAATATGATATGGATGATTCTTGAGGATATTATAAGTGACAAACAGACAAATACTATCTGATTCCAGTCACAATAGGAGGTTAGGGGGTGTCTAGAGAGAGTCCTGTTCACAGAGACAGAAGGCAGGATGGTGGTTTTCAGGGGGGGAGGGGGAGCTGCCATTTCAGTGGCATCGCGTCTGTCGCAAAATAAAAGTTGTGGAGGGGCGCCTGGGTGCCTCAGTCAGTTAAGCATCCAACTTCAGCTCAGATCTTGATCTCTCGGTCCATAGTTCATAGTTGGAGCCCCGCATCGTGCTCCGTGCTGACAGCTCAGAGCCTGGAGCCTGCTTTGGATTCTGTGACTCCTTCTCTCTCTGCCCATCCACCTCTCATGCTCTGTCTCTGTCTCTCTCTCAAAAATAAACATTAAAAAAAAAAAAAAAACAGAAGTTGTGGAGAGATGGGTTACACAACAGTGTGAACATGCCTGACACTCTTGCACTTAGAAATGGCTGAGGGGGTAAATTTTACACTATGCATTTTTTTAACCATAGTTTTTTTTTAACAGTTAACACTAAAGACAAAAAGCATTCGCATTTTTTAAAAAAGTGAATGATGTGGCGCCTGGGTGGCTCAGTTGGTTAAGCGTCCGACTTCGGCTCAGGTCATGATCTCACGGTCCGTGAGATCGAGCCCCACATTGGGCTCTGGGCTGACAGCTCAAAGCCTGGAGCCTGTTTCAGAATCTGTGTCTCCCTCTCTCTCTGACCCTCCCCGGTTCATGCTCTGTCTCTGTCTCAAAAATAAATAAACGTTAAAAAAAATTTTTTTTTTAAATAAATAAATAAGTGAATGATGAGTGAGGTTTGGGGACAGGACAAAGGTCTGAGATACAGTTTCTCCAGGGGACTGACAGAAGAAATAAGATATGATGTTCTCTTCACAGTTGGTATTTAAATCTCAGGGCAGATGAAGGAATAATAAAATGCCATCACTCTTTTTGTATTTCTTCTTTTTTTAAAAATTTTTTGATGTTTATTTTTGAGAGAGACAGAGTGAGAGAGAGCACGAGTAGGGACGGGGCAGAGAGAGAGGGAGACACAGAATCCGAAGCAGGCTCCAGGCTCTGAGCTGTCAGCACAGAGCCTGACGCGGGGCGTGAACTCACAAACCATGAGATCGTGACCTGAGCCGAAGTTGGACACGTAAGTGACTGAGCCACCCAGGCGCTCCTTCCTTTTCTGTTCAGCATCTCTTGCATCTTGTGTTCTATACTAGTCAACTGAATGAGCGATGACGCCTGTTCTTGGTGGATAAAAAACGATACATTAGGTTAGCGTAAGGCTGAAAGTTCCACAAAGAGACCAAGGTTCAGTTTAGTAATTTCTAGAATACTTTTCTCTCCTGTAAAAAGTTCAAAAGGCAGATGAGCAGGAAGCCTCACTTCTTGTATTTTCCGGGTGTCTACGGTTTTCCCTAGCTGTTGCGCTGTGCTTTATGACACTGTCCATGTGCGTGACTGGTGGAGTCTTTTGGGTTTTCCACGTAGAGTGTCCTGTCATCCGTGAAGAGTGCAAGTTTGACTTCTTTGCCAAGTTGGATGCCTAATATTTTGTCTTGTTGTCTGATTGCTGAGGCTCGGACTTCCAACACTATGTTAAACAGCAGCAGTGAGAGTGGACATCCCTGTCGCGTCCCTGATCTCGGGGGAAAGCTCTCAGTTTTTCTGTCGATGTGCGCGACTGAATGTGCACTGCATCCCAAGGCAGGTTCTGTGAGGCAGAAGGGGGGTGCAGGGTATCGAGAAGCTGTGGTCTTTCCCCCCCGGGGCCGGAATTGGTGCATCATGTCGTATGCGTATTCCATCAGCCAAAACTGTCTCCCGGTCACATCTCATCACAAAGGACGTTGAGAACTGTTACGTAGCTTGGCAGGCACGTACCTGGTCACGGTTAACTTCTATGAAAGACGGTGACACAGATTTCGGGGGACAGCTTGCTTGTCCACTCTTCCAGTGTTCCTTTCCTGGGTTGTAAGTTCATTTCTAGGTTCAAGCAAACAGATTTCAGCTTCCTGGAGAGTTGCCTTTGGGCAGCGGTACCCTTGCTGCTTGGCCATGTCAGGGCTGGTGCCGTCTCCGTTTTGCAGACGACACGTAGGGCGGGTGGACTCACCAAATCCACCTTGCTTCTGACAAGCGGGGGGAGACGGGGGATGAGTCACGACTTAGATCCGAAAGCTAACGAAGAGCTGGCCGCCGAGCCCCTCCGGCCCGCCCCGGCCGTTCTCGGCCGTTGCCCCGTGCTGCCCGTGTCTGTGTTTCCTGGAGTCGTCCATAGGTGTGCGTATCTGTGGGTCTCTGGACCGTCTGCCTGCGGAAGTGGAGCCAGGCTGCCCTTGTTCGAATCTGACTCCCGCCAGAGCTCAGCGAGGTGACTGTGGTCAGTTCCTTATGCTGCACCTCCTCCTCCGTGAGACAGGGGTAGTAAGTGCCGTTACGCATGGAGGGGTGTGAGGGTTGAAGGAGTTTCTGTGGCACGATGTCGCACGGTCTGGCACGTGGTCGTGCCGTCCGCAGACAGGCTGACACGCAGTAAAGTCTGTGGCTGTTTCCTCATCATCACCAGCCTCGCCCCCGTCATTACCCTGTGACTTGCAATTTCTGTGTTCGGTCTCCATCCGCTCCTCTGACGTGTCCTCCTTCCTCTGTTAACTTGTGCCTACCTCTTCATCTTTTTCTCCTAGAAGGGGAGTTTGGACTCAAAACCTCACGACAGAAAATTTTTGAAAAAGCTTCGTTTCGCGACGGTAAGGAACTTGCGGCCCTGGGAGGTGGGTCAGGGTGCTCCGTCTTGGGAGATGTGAACCCCACAACGAGGGGTCTGCAGAAGCAAGGGAAACCTTCGCGGCACGGGGCTCTCCTCAGTAGGGAAACACCGGATACAGAGAGAGACTGCGGGTGTAAAGACCCGGGAAAAATCGCTCCTGTGAGGCCCCATCTTGTTCCTCCACAAAAAAGACCTCCTAAATGTGGCTCATTTGCGAAAAGTTTGAAGCCCAACCTAGAAGGGAGTCCTCAAAAGCAAAGCGACGGCACAGAACACCTCGATGGGACTGTCGGCTCTGGCCGGCTACTCCACCATAGCCCTTCCGGTCCTGGCTACAAGAACGTTCGTCCAGGAGAGAACCTGTGTGAAGGGAATCCACATATGAAAGTCGGCAGCCGTAAACCGCCACACGCACAACATCGAGTCCATACCTGGGAGAAACCCGATAAATGTGCCGAATGTGGCAGGGGCTTCGGCCAGAAGCCACCCCTCGAGCAGCAGAGATTCCACAGCGTGGAAAACCTCCAGGAGAGCAGGAAATGCACGACGAGCCTTGCCCCGCGGCCAGACCTCAGCGCATATCTGCCCGCTCACGCAGGACACGTTCCGTACATATGTAAGGAGTGCGGGAAAGTCTTCGCTCAGAGGTCAGAACTGACGACACACCAGAAAAGCCACGCCAGACAGAAGCCCCACAAATGCCAGGAATGTGGAAAAGCCTTTTTCCAGGCGTTATCTCTCTTCAGACACCAGAGAACCCACACTCGAGGGAAGCTCTACGAGTGCAGCGAGTGTGGGAAAGGCTTCTCCCAGAAGTCCACCCTCGCCATCCATCAGAAAATCCACGCCGGCGAGCGGCAGTATGCGTGCGGCGAGTGTGGGAAGGCCTTCACCCAGAAGTCTGCACTCAGCCTGCACCGGAGGATCCACTCGGGGGAGAAGGCCTACGCGTGCCTCGCGTGCGGCCAGGCCTTCGTGCAGAAGGCCCACCTGACCGTGCATCAGAGAAGCCACACCGGAGAGAAGCCCTACAAGTGCAGCGACTGCGGGAGAGCCTTCATTTGCAAGTCGCAGCTCGACATACATCGCCGCATCCACACCGGCGAGAAGCCATACGAGTGCCGTGACTGTGCAAAAGCCTTCACGCAGAAGTCACACCTCAACATGCACCGGAAGATCCACACGGGAGAGAGACAGCACGTGTGCCGTGACTGCGGCAAGGCCTTCACCCAGAAGTCCATCCTCAACATGCACCAGCGCACCCACACCGGAGAGAAGCCCTACAAGTGCAGCGACTGCGGGAGAGCCTTCACCTCCAAGTCACAGTTCAGAGAGCACCAGCGGGTCCACACGGGCGAGAAACCCTACGTGTGCGCCGAGTGTGGGAAGGCTTTCAACGGCAGGTCCAATTTCCACAAACATCAGATGACTCACACGAGAGGGAAGACCTTTGTCTGCCACACATGTGGGACCGCCTTTGGCCAGAAATCAGAGCTGATGGCACATCGGAGAACTCACGTCGGACAGAGGCCTCATGAATGCGGGGACTGCGGGAAATCCTTCAGTAAGAAACCACAGCTCCAAGTGCACCGGCGAATTCACACGGGAGAGATGCCCTATGCGTGTCCTCAGTGTGGGAAGGCCTTCAACAACAGATCCAATTTTAATAAACACCAAACAACTCATACCAGAGACAGACCTTACAAGAGCAGTTACTGCATGAAAGGCATTACCCAGACATCCGCTCCCAGTATGCATCAGCAATAACATAAAGTGAAACAAAGTCTAAATTTCTCGAAGGAAAAAAAAAATCTCCGTAGAGTCTGATTCAATTGTATGTTAACAGAAGGACCCCCGGAATGCGCTGCATTGTTGCAAAGGTACACCTTGTTTTATATGAAGGAAATCACTTAGACAAGAACATTTAACAATGAGGGGAAGTGTCCATATTCGTACTAACCTCGTCAAGGATTATAAAACTCTCTTGGGAAGAAACCCGGACTAAACTTGAGAAAAGTGTCTCTGTAGAAAGTAGTACAAGAGGGGCGCCTGGGTGGCTCAGGTCATGATCTCGCGGTCCGTGAGTTCGAGCCCCACGTCGGGCTCTGGGCTGACAGCTCAGAGCCTGGAGCCTGTTTCAGAATCTGTGTCTCCCTCTCTCTCTGCCCCTCCCCGGTTCATGCTCTGTCTCTGTCTCAAAAATAAATGTTAAAAAAAAAAAAAGTAGTACAAGATAAAATTTTGCCAGATTTTTTGATAAATGCATAAATGTGATTTTGTGATGTACACTGGTCTTCACGGGGCACCTCTTCTCTTACACGACTAGCCCAGCTCTCCCCTCCCCACTTCTTTCCACCCCCACCACTTCTGGCGAGCATCTCCGTAAATAACCAGCGTCAACCTTTCGGTGTGGACTTTTTCCCATTTTTATACAGCCTCCTGGTCACTTCCCCAGGGTCAGCAAACTGGCCGTTGGCCACCCGGGTTTTTTAAATAAAAATTTTACTGGACACAGCCACGTTCACCTGTTTGTGTATGGCGGGCGTGAGTAACCTGTGGCGGAGCCCACGTGGCCCGCAAAGCCGAGAATATTTACCCTCCGGCCCTTACGGGAGATTGCCAGCACCTGGTGTCCGCACACACTCATCCCTATGCTCATAATCCTACACCTGTGTCGGAGCTCTGTCCTTGGTTCTGTCAGTATCGGATCCTGTCACAGGCGTGTGTGCCTCGTTCTTCTCGAGCTGCAACACGTCCGTTCGGTGGCTGCACCATATGCTGTAGGGTGAACACGCTCTAACATATTCAGCCTCACCGGTTTTACTCTCTTCCTTTTTTTTTTTTTGCTACAAGAAAGAATAGCATAGTGTGGTCGGACACAGGCCCAGGAGCCAGGCACCTGTATCTGATCCTACGTCAGTTGGGCAAGTGTTTAATTCCTGGGTTTCAGAAGGACGATGCCAACGTCCTTTTGTGAGAAGTAAACAGGTAGGTCCGTGTTAAGCACTTGGAACCAACAGATGCGTGGAAGTGAAAGGCGGGGGAATAAGGCTGGTGGGGAGAAGTGAGTAAAATCAGCCCTCCTTAGTAAGAAACCAGGTGGGAGCTCTGGTCCCGGGGATTCTGTTCCAGCCTCCAGCAAACCCTCGGCTTGGCACTGGGGCTCCTAGGGCTGTGAAGTTGATGTCCATGGGGAGGCTGGTGTGGACGGGCTGTAGCTCCTTGGAGAGCAGCCTGGAGCCCTAGGAGTTCATGCCATCTGCAGCTGACTGGGGCCAAAAAGCCAGGATGGGGGGAGGGGCAGCCACACGAGCCCAGGACTTAAGGACCGCCCAAGACCGAACATTCTACCTCCAACCCCAGTTTACCTCTGGTGGCTCTGCTCCTGGCAGAGGTCCCGGCCCTCCGGCAAACGGTGGTGGCCGGAGAACAGACGGGGTGCTAAGAGGAGCGTCTTTGCAGCCTTACAGGGGGGAGGCCAGGTGGCCTGCGCCCCCCACGCCGTGGAGGGACCTGCGGCTCCCTGTGGGCTCCTCAAGCAGCACCCCCCTCCCTGGCAGCCATGTCCTCATCCTCATGATCCCAGCCCCGGTGGGAGTTGGGGAAGCCATTTATCCTCAGGTAGCGAATGGGGCACGGGGCAAACATGCCTCCGAGGAAGCCACAGTAGGGGAGCCTGGAGAGGCAGAGAGAGCTGGAAGCCAGGAGTTTCAGGCAACAGGGCCCTGGCCCTGGCTTTCTATCCCTAAGCTTTATTTCTGCATTCCCCCTTCTCCATTCACCCCAGTGATAACCTCTCCCCTGACCCTTCGGGTGTCCCCTTCCCTGATCTTGCGGTCGCCCTTCCTCTGCCTCTTCAGACAGGTCTTCGACCCCTGGGATCTCCCCTCCTCTAAATCCTCTGACAGGCCCACCTGATGACCACTTGATGGACCTTTCTCCCCAGATCCCTAAGAACACCCTTTCCTGCCCCCTGGCCAGCCCCTCCTTTCATACATTCCTCTTCTCTGGCTTTTGTCATGACCCCCTCTGTCTACCACTGGACCCCTGTGACACCTGCATCCAAAAGGAAGGTTCTTCCCTGTCTCCCAGGATTTTCCCCGCCCCATCGTCCCAGAGTCGGCCCCAGGGATCAGGGCCTGGACCTTACAGATGGGCAGGGTGGCGTCCAGGGAAGCGCAGGGTCTGGCCAACCGTCCCCCACAGGCGGCCCCCTCCCTCCATCCACTCATAGCTGGACTCGTCTATACCAACAGACACAAGGGTGGGGAAGATGTTACAGATGTAGAGGTCGCTGTCATCCTCTGGGAAGAGGTTCACATGGTGGAAGGAGGCAGTCTTATTCCTCTGTGCGGCCTCCCAGAAGCCCACACTGTGCAGCCTGCCCAGCGCTGAAGGCGGTATTGTGTACCTGGGATGGACGGAGATGCTCAATGCTTCCTCACCAGCAGGCAGGAGCATGCCCCCACCTGCCAGGCCCCTCTTCTCCCCTTTCCAAGTACCATTCTCTTGCCTGGACTCTCTTCCCACCAGAGCTGGCAAACCCAGACCCGTCCACGAGGGCACAGTTCAAAGGTTCCCTCCCATGGAAAACTTTCCTTGGATTCCCACCCCCATCCTGGGCAGGGTCACTATCTTTAGCCACCCAGCTCTGCCTCCTTGGCCATGTTCAGGGTTCTCAAGGATGATCCCCTGCAAGAGATCATCTGAGGGAGGCAGAGATTAGGGTGAGCAGGAACCACCTACATTTAAGTTTGTTTATTTTGAGAGAGCGAGAGAGAGACAGAACGCACAAGTGGGACAGGGGCAGAGAGAAAATCCCAAGCAGGCCCCACGCTGTCAGCATAGAACCTGACTCGGGACTCAATCCCACAAACCGTGACATCATGACCTGAGCCGAAATCAAGATTCAGACTTTTTTTTTTTTTTTTTTTTAAATTTTTTTTTTTTTTTTTTCAACGTTTATTTATTTTTGGGACAGAGAGAGACAGAGCATGAACGGGGGAGGGGCAGAGAGAGAGGGAGACACAGAATCGGAAACAGGCTCCAGGCTCCGAGCCATCAGCCCAGAGCCTGACGCGGGGCTCGAACTCACGGACCGCGAGATCGTGACCTGGCTGAAGTCGGACGCTTAACCGACTGCGCCACCCAGGCGCCCCAAGATTCAGACGTTTAACCAACTGAGCCACCAGGCGCCCCCATCATGACCACCTTAATCATTACCGTCACCACTGTCATGTTCATCATCAGCGCTAATTAGCACTGTCACCACTATCTTCATCATCTCCAACACCATCGACACAGTCCCCTCCCTCCATCACTATTACCATCGCCATCCTCACCGCCGACAGCAGCAGCATCTCAATCATCACCACCAACAGAATCACCATGATCATTAGCACTATCGTTACTGAGCACCTACCATGGGCCAGGCCTTGGCCTCGCAGCTTTATAATGTCATTAACTCAGTGAATCCCTCCTGCAGCCCAGTGATGGAGGTGTTATGATCATCCTTGTCTCATGAATGAGAAAACAGTGGTGCAGAGAAGTTCCCCAAGTTCATACATGATTATACTAAGTGACAATGTGATGGGTGGATGATGGATAGGTGGACAGATGGATGTGTGGACAGATGGATGTATGGACGGATGGACAAATGGACGGACGGACAGATGACTGGTCCCACACTCTGACCACACAAGTAGTAATGGGCAAGGCTGGGATTCAAACAAACATCTAAGGGACTCCAAACCCAGTGCTTTAAGTGACCGCTTGGCTTCACTGCCCAACCTGGCCAGCCCTGGTCTCAGGGAGACTCAGACTCGGCAGGACTGAGCCTTTCAGAGAGTCATTTAAGCTGATCCCGCACTCGGCCAGTCTATAGCTCAGGCTCTGACTTCCCCCAGTTCAAGTTCTTCTTGGCTCATAAATCCAGCCCCACAGGCACTCTCTGGCCCAAACACTGTCAGCCCAGAGACTGAAGACTTCAGTGTTGACTCCACAGCCATGTTCAGACCCATCTTCTCGCCTCTGACCCTCCCCTTTCCGACTGCACCTGATTCACCATGTGTATGGCACTCTGTGGGAAGGGGTGCGGGTGGAAGGGCAGGTGCTGCTGGTGCCAGACTTGCCCGTAGTAGGGCACCACAACTGTGTGCAGCCACGTCCAGCAACCAAGTGGCCAGTACTGGCCTCCCAGCTCCAACCAGCAGGTTCTTTCCCACCACCTCCATCGTCACCTCCACCATCAGGTTCTCTGGGATCGTCCCCTTCAAGGGGCCATCTGAGAGTGGCAGGGATGGTCAGGGCCCTGTCCCACAACCCCCACAACCTAGCTGGGTTCAATCATGTCCCCCCAAAAACACGTCCACCAGAGCTTCGAAATGTGACCTTATTTGGAAACTGGGTCTACACAGATGTAGACATTAAAATGCGGAAGTATCGGATTGGGGTGGACCCTAAATGCAACGACTGGTGTCCTCATAAGAAGGCCATGTGAAGACCTGGAGAGAAGACGGCCATGGAGGCGAAAATTAAAGTGATGAGCATACAAGCCAAGGAAAGCCAACAGCCATCAGAAGCTAGGGGAGGGACATAGGATGGTTTCTCTCTGAGCATCCAGAAGGAACACCCTGCTGACATCTTGACCTTGGACTTCTGGCCTCCAGAACTGTGGGAGAGTAACTTTTTTTTTTTAAAGGTTTATTTATGATAGAGCAAGTGTAAATGGAGGGGCACAGAGAGGCGGACAGAGGATCTGAAGGGGGCTCTGCACCGACAGTAGCGAGCTCGATGCGGGGCTTGAACTCACGAA